TGTGTTATTTATAACACAATTTACATCTTTTTATATTGTGTATCCAACTACATACCATCATCACAATATTAGAGAATTCTGAGTTTGACTATACTTACGTTTATCAGTGAGTATATGTTTTCATGTTGCTAATACATGTTCCTTTCATTTCAGCTTGAAGATCTCCCTTTCACATTTCTTGTTAGGCAAGTCCAGGGGTGATGAACTTCCTCAGTTTTGGTTTGTCTGGGAAGGTCTTTATCTTTCTTTCCTTTTTGAAGGATGGCTTTGCTGGGTATGTTTTTGGTTGGCAGTTTTTTTTACTTTCAGCACGTTGAGCGTATCATTCCACTTTCTCTTGGTCTGCAGGGTTTTTGATAGTCTTATGGAGGTTCCTTTGTATGTATTGAGTTGTTTTTCTTTTGCTGCTTTAAAAATTCTCCGGTATAAAGAATTTGAGGAGGTTAAAAAATAAATAAAATAAAACAAAAATTAAAAAAACTCTCTTTGTCTTTGATTTTAACTATTTGATTATAATGTGTCTTGGTGAAGACCTCTTTATTCTCAATGTATATGGAGTTCTTTGGGTTTAATGGATCTGGGTGTTTTTTTCCTCTTTACAGATTTGGAAAGTTTTCTGTTATTTTACTTTTTGTAGTTTTTACAGTTTTATTTAAACACAGAACGTGCACATGAGCTGTCTACTCATTTTCTTCACTGCACAGCCTGGCATTGGGGTTGGTGACTCTGATGGCCAGCAGGCAGCTCTTTCCACAATGGCTTTGCGGTTCTTGGAGGAAACATTGTGAGCGATCTCAGCACAGGAAGATTTGTTGCACGTCAGCAGCACTTCCAGCTCCTTCATGTTGTGGACCAGGAACTTCTGGAAGCTGCTGGGCAGCATGTGCTTTGTTTTTTTTGTTGCTCCCATAACCAGTGTTGGGCATCAAGATCTGGCCCTTGAACCTTCTGCGAACCCTGTTGTCAATATCTCTGGTTTCTGCCAGTTACGCTTAATTTTGACATATCAATCTGACTAGTGCCGGATGAACTTCTTGGTTCTCTTTTTGTGATCTTGGAACTTTACAAGGGGTCTGAGGGTGGCCATGATGCCAAGGAGGAGATGGCTGCCACGTTGGCAATGCCAAGGAAGAGAGACATTATATTTTAAAATAAGCTTGCTTTCCCTTTCTCTTTCTCTGGTCCTTTTGGGATTTCTATAGTACGTATATCATTTTACTTGATGTTTTCGTAAGTCCAGCAGAGTTGAGCCAGCTGCTAAGATCCATTCCTGTTGTTAATGTTCATGTTCTCTCTGCAGCAGTTAATGTGGGTCATGCACAATGGTATTGGGCCCCATACGTGGTGGAGTGGGTCATATAGGTTGCATAGACTTGTTGGGTGGGGTTCCTCAGGTGAGTCATCTGGTGGGATTTGTGGGCAAATCTCCTGCTGGGGTCTGTAAGCTAATTGGCAGAATCTGTGGTTGGTCGTTGAAACCACATACCAGTTTTCTGTGCACTCTACTCCCTTCTCCGTGTTCCTAGGTGATCAGTCATCTGTATTCTGGGCAGGGAGAGACATAAGTGAGCCTCCTGGTCAGTGTTCTTCAAGTCTGGGGAAGCTAGGTGTTTGCTATGCTTTCACCTTCCCCTGTGGGAGAAATGGAAGGCCAAAAAAGCTGCTCTCAGCACAAGCTGTGCCTCCTTGGGGAAGGGATGATGCAGGTAAGGTGGAACTGCACTTGTTCCCCTTTTCAGTGCTTCCACTCTTGGGTTGATCTGCTCCAGTGGGACGCTGGAACCTCAGCCAGACTCCAGGCCTCCCACATAGTGATTCTCATCTGTCACTGCCTGCCTTAACTGCTGTTTTCTATGGGAGGATGAGAGCTGGAACATCCTATTCTGCCATGCTACTGATTTCACTCCTGACTGAATTTTGAAGAATGAACAGTACTCCCTAGATGTATAAGGAGAAAAGTGCATCCTAAGCAGAGGAAACTCCAGGTACGAAGGCAGAGAAATTTAATCTTATCAAGGTGCTTGTGATGGACAGTAAGTTTTTTTGTGGGACTGGGGTGTAGGGTTCATGGAAGGAGACAATAGGAGTGTGTACTTGGAAAGTTAGGGGCTAGATTACCATGGGCTCATATGGACAGTGAAAACTATAAAAGAAAATGGAAAACTTGTGATGGCTCTACTCATTGAACTTTATCGGTGAAGACTTTTCCTTCTATCTGAGCAGGATTTGAGACATGGATTCATTGATAAGGAGTTGCAGTACTGTACATGAGAGAAGTCAGGAGTGATAGCAGAGCTAAGAGATAGCGACATCAGTAAAGGTATGTGCAGTCACAGTTAACGAGATGGGCCATAAGGGGAGTTCATTCGACTAATATTTGCTAAGTATCTACCACATACCCTCAAACTTGTAGAAATTGAAGACACAGCAGTGAACAAAGAGAAGAAAATCCCACTCTTATTCTGTTACATATGTTTGCTATATCTATACATATTTTTTTTTTTTCTGGAGTATTTAAAAGCAAATCCCAGACATCATGTGATTTCACCTTAGAATATTTTAGTATGTGTCTCTAACTGACAAGGACTTTAAAAATACATAGCCATCATTTTTTCCTAAGTCGGCGCTCGCCAACGAGAAAGCCATGTTCAGTTCGAGCGCCAAGATCGTGAAGCCCAATGGCGAGAAGCCAGATGAGTTCGAGTCCGGCATCTCTCAGGCTCTTCTGGAGCTGGAGATGAACTCGGACCTGAAGGCTCAGCTCAGGGAGCTGAATATTACGGCAGCCAAGGAGATTGAAGTTGGTGGTGGCCGGAAAGCTATCATAATCTTTGTTCCTGTTCCTCAACTAAAATCTTTCCAGAAAATCCAAGTCCGTCTAGTACGCGAATTGGAGAAAAAGTTCAGTGGGAAGCATGTTGTCTTTATTGCTCAGAGGAGAATTCTGCCTAAGCCAACTCGAAAAAGCTGTACAAAAAATAAACAAAAGCGTCCCAGGAGCCGTACACTGACAGCTGTGCACGATGCAATCCTTGAAGACCTGGTCTTCCCAAGTGAAATTGTGGGCAAGAGAATCCGCGTGAAACTGGATGGCAGCCGGCCCATAAAGGTTCATTTGGACAAAGCACAGCAGAACAATGTGGAACACGAGGTTGAAACTTTTTCTGGTGTCTATAAGAAGCTCACGGGCAAGGATGTTAATTTTGAATTCCCAGAGTTCCAATTGTAAACAGAATGACTAAATAAAAAATATATTCACAGTAAAAAAAAACAAAAACAAAAACAAAAAAAACATAGCCATCATACATAACTACCATATCATTTATCATAATATATAATACCATGATATCATTTCAGAGTTCTTATGCATTTATATTTTCACTAGTGTTTAAAATGTCTTTTAAAATTAGTTACTTTGGACCAGCTGTGGTGGCTCATGCCTGTGATCCCAGTACTGTGGGAGGTAGAGGTGAGCGGATCACTTGCAGGCTGGGAGTTCACATCCAGCCTGGCCAACATTGTGAAACCCCATCTGTACTAAAAATGCAAAAATTAGCCGGACGTGGTGGCGTGTGCCTGTAGTCCCAGCTACTCGGGAGGCTGAGGCTGGAGAATCACTTGAACCTCAGAGGCAGAGGTTGCAGTGAGCAGAGAGTGCGCCACTGCACTCCAGCCCGGGTGACAGAGCAACTCCGTCTCAAAACATAACTAACTAAATAAAATTAGGTGCTTTGGATCTAGGTTCAAATAAGGGCCACATATTGTATTTGGTTGACATATCTCTTATCTTTATTAAAATTTAACAATTTCCTATCCTTCCTTTAGTATTCTTTTATGCCTCTTAAATTTTTTTTATTTAAAATTATCATATAGTAAAATTAGCTTTCTGGTATACAGTTCTATACATTTTAACACATGTATAGATTCATGTAATCGTGACCACATTCAGTATACAGAACAGTTTTTTCACCTGCATGTGTCGGGTAGGAGGAGATTTGGTGGTTGATCCTCTATGACACACTGTTAAATACCCCCTTGATTTTGGGTCTATGGCTCACCTTTCCACCTCGAACCTCCCTGGGCTGATACTTTCCAGGTTCTGTGGGAGTTTAATGTTTCACTTTCCATTGGGTTACTCTTCTTCAGGGTTAGAAAGATTAAATTGCCCAAGGTTCCACATTGTATTGTGGAATTCAGATTCGAACCTGGGTTTTCCATCTTCAAACCTCTATATTTAAAATTTATTGTATAAAACTAGAGAAAAGTCTGAGCACATAGAGTACCAGAAGAACCAATTTCAGAATATAGATGCAGGATACCTAAATAAAATATTAACAAACTGAATCTAGCACAAATTAATGGAAAAAAATCTATGAATGGTAGATAATAAATAAATATGAAGTAAAATGAGGAACCATTTCTGTGTATAGGTTACTAACTTGGCAGAGATTTTAAGAGAAATACTATCCACTACAGGCAATAGATGGAGAAAATAGGCATTCTTATATGTTTCTAGTGTGAAAACAAATTGGTACCACCATTCAATTTTACTATCTATAACAAAACTTTTTTTTTTAAAGACGGGGTTTCACCATGTTGGTCAGGCTGGTCTTGAACTCCCAACCTCAGGTGATCTGCCCGCCTTGACCTCCAAAGTGCTTGGATTACAGGTATGAGCCACCACGCCCGGCCAACAAAACTCTTAATATTTCATGCAACTTTTAACCCAGAAGTTTCACCTCTAGGAATTTATTTTCAGGAAGCAATCATGATATTTATAAAAATTTAACTATGAGGATATTCATTTCAGTGTTATTTATAATATTGAAAAAATTAATAATATATCTGTCCACTAACATGGACTTCATAAAATAAAATACAAGACACAAAATAATATTGAAGAATAATGTTAATAACATGAATGTATGATAATGTTATATTAAGTGAAATACCTAGTTTCAAAACAGTGGTTTTTTTTTTTTTTTTTTTTGTATCACAAGGGATTCTTTCTGTTGCAAGTCATGAAAAGTCAACTAAAAATGGCTTATGATAAAGAAAAGGAAGATGTTGATTGATAAAAATGGAAAATCCATGGTCACAGGCCTTCAGGTAAGGTTGCATCCAGCTTCATCATCAGTAATTGGTTTCCATCTCTTGGTTTGGCTTTACTTTCAGATAGACACTCTAAAAACATTGTTAAAGAGAGCTACCAACAGCTCTGGGATTATGCTTTACCAACTAATAATCTAACAGGAAAAGAGTATTTCCTTTTAAATCATTCCAACAAAAATCCTAGTGCTGAATCTCATTGGTCAGGTCTGGCTCATGTCCTCCTCTACTTTTTTTTTTTAATTGCATTTTAGGTTTTGGGGGTACATGTGAAGAACATGCAACATTGTTGCCTAGGTACACACATGGCAGTGTGATTTGCTGCCTTCTTCCCCATCACCTATATCTGGCACTTCTCCCCATGCTACCTGTCCCCGGTACTCCTCTCCTTAACTGAGAGGTGGTGTGAGTCCCATTTGAACTATGTCATCATAATGCTAGCTGAAATTTATAGAGTATTGACTACTGTGTCAGATTCTGAGTCCCACGATTTTATGTGTAAGTTTGGGCAATTTAACCTTCCTAAGCCAGAAAAGAACACATAATCTGTGTCCTTTGTATCATTGCACTAAATTCTTTTGGCAATCCTAGTGGAACAGATTCTACGTCCATCCTCATTTTATGGATGAAAACTCTGAAGCTTGGGCAGATTAATTATTGTCTTAATCTATTTAGCATTGCTACAAAGGAATACCTCAGGCTGGGTAATTTCTTTCTTTTCTTTTCTTTCTTTTTTTTTTTTTCTGAGAGAGTTTTACTCTTGTTGCCCAGGCTGGAGTACCATGGCATGATCTCAGCCCACTGCAACCTCTGCCTTCTGGGTTCAAGTGATTCTCCTGCCTCAGCCTCCTGAGTAGCTGGGATTACTGGCTTATGCCACCATGCCCGGCTAATTTTGTATCTTTAGTAGAGACGGGGTTTCTCCATGTTGGTCAGGCTGGTCTCAAACTCCTGACCTCAGGTGATAGACCCACCTCGGCCTCCCAAAGTGCTGGGATTACAGGCGCGAGCCACTGCGCCCGGCCAGGCTGGGTAATTTCTAAAGAAAAGAGGCTTCTTTGGCTCATGGTTCTGTAGGCTCCACAAGAAGCACCACACTGGCATCTGCATCAGGTGAGGGCCTCAGGCTGCTTCTATTAATGGTGGAAGGTGAAGGGGAGCCAGTGTGTGCGGAGATCACACGGCGAGAGAGGAAGTAAGGTGTGGAGGCGGTGCCAGGCTCTTTTTAACAATCAGTTCTCCTAGTGATGAATAGAGGAAGAACTTACCCTTGAGGGAAGGCACTAATTTATTGATAAGGGTCCCATCCCCATGACCCAAATACCTCTCATTGGGCCCCACCTTTAACATTAGGGATCAAATTTCAACATGGGATGAGGAGGGAGCAAACATCCAGACTGAAGCAAGTTGATTATATAAGTCGAAAGAATTAGCAAATGATGCATTCACTCACATGGACTGAGAATACGGGAGGCAGCAGTTCTTCAAAGAAGAATCAGACGCTGCGTCAGACATTGAATAGAAAGCCCAAAACAAAGTAAAGGAAAACAAAACAATCCCCATAGAATAAACAAGGATATGAAAACTTCCAAAGTCTGCTGTTAATATACTTGGAAACGTACAAAATATATTGCACCCGTGTTGTAAGAACAGAGTAAGATCATAATACTTTTTTTTTCTTTTTTTTTTTTTTGAGACCGAGTCTTGCTCTGTCGCCAGACTGGAGTGCAGAGACACAATCTCTGCTCACCGCAACCTCCACCTCCCAGGTTCAAGGGATTCTCCTGCCTCAGCCTCCCAAGTAGCTGGGACTTAACAGGTGTGTGCCACCACGCCTGACTAGTGTTTTGTATTTTAGTAGAGACGGGGTTTCTCCATGTTGGTCAGGCTGGTCTTGAACACCTGACCTCAGGTGATCCACCTGCCTTGGCCTCCAAAGTGCCGGGATTACAGACAGGAGCCACTGCACCTAGCCAATAAATTTTAAGATAGTAAAAAGGGCCCTTAAAAATTGTTTTTTGTTTGTTTGTTTGTTTGTTTGTTTTTTTTTTTTTTTTTTGAGACGGAGTTTCGCTCTTGTTACCCAGGCTGGAGTGCAATGGCACGATCTCGGCTCACTGCAACCTCCGCCCCCTGGGTTCAGGCAATTCTCCGGCCTCAGCCTCCTGAGTAGCTGGGATTACAGGCACGCGCCACCATGCCCAGCTAATTTTTTGTATTTTTAGTAGAGACGGGGTTTCACCATGTTGATCAGGATGGTCTCGATCTCTTGACCTCGTGATCCACCCGCCTCGGCCTCCCAAAGTGCTGGGATTACAGGCTTGAGCCACCGCGCCCGGCCTAAGGGCCCTTAAAAATTGAAGCAAGAGGCCGGGCGCGGTGGCTCCAGCCTGTAATCCCAGCACTTTGGGAGGCCGAGGCGGGTGGATCACGAGGTCAAGAGATCTAGACCATCCTGGTCAACATGGTGAAACCCCACCTCTACTAAAAATACAAAAAAGTAGCTGGGCATGGTGGCACGTGCCTGTAATCCCAGCTACTCAGGAGGCTGAGGCAGGAGAATTGCCTGAACCCAGGAGGCGGAGGTTGTGGTGAGCCCAGATCGCGCCATTGCACTCCAGCCTGGGTAACAAGAGCGAAACTCTGTCTAAAAAAAAAAAAAAAAAAAAAAAAATTGAAGCAAGAGAGTAGACCTGAAAAGTGTGACGGAAGAGTTGAAAGATAAACTTGAGGAAATCGCCCAAGAAGACGCAGAGTTGGAAGACAGGAGAGAAAAGGATAGAGAAGATTAAAGATTAAGGCTGGAGTGTTCAATAACTGAATAACAGGTGTTCAAGAGAGAAAAAGAATATGTAGGAGAGGCAGTCATCATAAAAACCATACAGAAAGGTTACTCAAAACTCATGAAGGCCGGGCATGGTGGCACATGCCTGTAGTTCCAGCTACGCGGGAGGCTGAGGTGGGAGGATCGGTGGGCCCAGGAGTTCTGGGCTGTAGTGCGCTGTGCTGATCGGGTGTCCACACTAAGTTTGGCCTCAATATGGTGACCTCCGGGAGCAGGGGACCACCAGGTTGCCTAAGGAGGGGTGAACCGGCCCAGGTCGGAAACAGAGCAGGTCAAAACTCCCCTGCTGATCAGTAGTGGGATCGCGCCTGTGAATAGCCACTGCACTCCAGCCTGGGCAACATAGTGAGACCCTGTCTCTTAAAAAAAAAAAAAAAAAAAAAGAAAGAAAAAGAAAAAACTGACGAAGGACATGAGTTTCCAGATTGAAAAGGTTCTTCAAGTGCCTAGAGAAGCGTATGAAAAAAGACTTGTCAAGACACATTATCATGGAATTGCAGAACACGGAGTCCAAGAGATCTTGAAAGCTTAGAGAGCAAGGGAGAGGGTACACACGAAGATCAAATATAAAGGACTGGGCATCAGCGTTGGCTTTGCCTGCTTCAGTAAACACTGGTAGAGGCAAGAGACACCAGAGCAAAGCTTGTCAAATTCTTAAGAAAAACTATTCCCAGCGTAGAATTCTGCACCCAGCTAAATTAGCAATCAAATATGAGTATAAAATAAGGACATTTTCAGATGTGCAAGATTTACTTCCCCTGCATTCTTTCTTAAGGAGCTGCTGGAGGCTGTGCTGCTTGAATGAGAGGACAAGCCAAGAAAAGGAACGTATGGGGCACGACAGATAGGAATCTAACATAGGAGAGTGGAGACGGGACTCTAGGATAAGGGTGATGGGAGAGCCCGGAATGGCAGTTACGCACTAGGTGCAGAAGGAAACAAGTCCAGCTTGAAGCAGTGGGACAGCGGGACTCCAGGGAGAGACATGCTGAGGGTTTCCACCACCACTGTCCCCACTGCCATCAGGCTAACTCTCTTTTTGGAGATGGAGTCTCGCTCTGTGGCCAGGCTGGAGTGCAGTGGCGCGATCTCGGCTCACGGCAACCTCCACCTCCCGGGTTCAAGCAATTCTCCTGCCTCAGCCTCCCGTGTAGCTGGGATTACAGGCATGCGCCCACCACCACGCCCAGCTAATTTTTGTATATTTAGTAGAGACGGGGTTTCACCATGTTGGCCAGGATGGTCTCGATCTCTTGACCTCGTGATCCTCCCGCCTCGGCCTCCCAAAGTGCTGGGATTACAGACGTGAGCCACCACGCTTGGCCCATGCTAACTTTTAAATCAAGGACCAAATACCCCGATTTTTCTCTGTGTTTATCTTGTTTTGACCACATACTGATAAAGTTCCTGCTCGTTCCTCCATGCTCTGATGCTTGAGCTACTGTGGGTATCATTTAGTAATGTTCTGCTTTGACTTCCGGGAAGTGGAGGGGAAGTCATGATGAGCAGGATACACAGAACAGCCCCCTCCTTCTGACTGCATCCGGGCCAGACATCTAAAACCTGGCCCCCCCCTCCAGTGCTACCATATGTCTCACCTGTGCCGAGCCCAGTGTTTCCCAGTGTTACTCATCATCTTACTCAAAGATTTTCTCATAAAAGCGTTTATAAACGCTTAGGGAAGCCGAAGCCAGATAATGACGCAGAGGCTGTTCAGCTTATCCTCTCCTCTTGAGCCTTCCTCACACAGCGGTAACATCACCCTTTCCTTATCATCCTTCCAGATCGGGGCTTGCTGCTGAGTTTTTCAAGATGAAAGTCGTCGTGTTGCTTAGGGTTGCATTTATTGGTGGGAAACCGTAAAGGAAACAAGAGAATGATGAACAGAAGTCATCATTGCGGTTATCACTGGGGGTGGACAAGAGACTGCAATTGGGGAGGGATAAACAGAGGCTTCGAAAGGACTGGTTATAATTTATGTCTTTATTTATTATTTATTTATTTTTTTTGAGATAGAGTCTTACTCTGTCACCCAGGCTGGAGTGCAGTGGCACGGTCATGGCTCACTGCAACCTCCACCGATCCGTCTGCCTCAGCCTCCCAAGTAGCTGGGATTACAGGCACCTGCCACCATGCCTGGCTAATTTTTGTATTTTTAGCAGAGATGGGGTGTCACCCTATTGGCTAGGCTGGTCTCTAACTCCTGACCTTGTGATCTGCCTGCCTTGTGTGTCCCAAAGTGCTGGGATTACAGGTATGAGCCAACACACCTTGCCTATGTTTTATATCTTAAACTGGGTGGATGATTATTTATCTTATTATATTAGGTTGGTGCAAAAGTAATTGTGGCTTTTGCCATTACTTTTAATTTGCCATTACTTTTAAATATTCAATCGAGCAAATTTTATCCATCCTTCTATTTGTATGATGCATTTTACAACAAACCATTTTAAAAATCAGGTGCTGTTAATAAAATTGGAAGTCAATGGAAACAAGTAGAAATAAGAGATATCTATTCAGAATCTTTGGATAGTAAAAATACCTGCAAAGAGAAAGGACAAGAAGGGACATTTTATTTCTTTTAAAGTGAAAGCAAGTTTATTAAGAAAGTAAAGGAATAAAAGAATAGGCAGAGCATCTGGGAAGGGACACTTTTTTTCCCCTCTGGCTTTTTTGTTGTTGTTGCAAGCAACAGAGACCTGCTCAATTTGACTCAAAAAGAGTAGGGGTTGTTTTGAGCCTACACACGGAAGAAACTGGAATAGTAAAACTTAGACAGTGTTTCCTACAGGCATCTCGGTGTGTCTGTCTGCTCTGTTCCCTATTAACTATACAGATGCACCTCCACTTATAATGGGGCTGTGCCCTGATAAACCCACTGTAAATGGAAAATATCATTAAGTCGAAAGTGCATGTAATACACCTAACCTAGGCTAAGGTAGCTTAGCCTAGCTTGCCTTAAATGTACTCAGAACACTTAACATTAGCTGAAAGTTGGCAAAATTATCTAACACACAGCCCATTTTATAATACAGTGCTGACTATCTCAGTGATTTATTGAATATTATGCTGAAAGTGAAAAGCAGCATGGTTGGCTGGGTACTCGAGGTGCAGTTTCTGCTGAATGTGTATCACTTTTGCACCATCCAAGCGTTGAAAAATACTAAGTTGAACCATTGCAAGCAGGGATCGTCTGTATAACAAATCTCCCCAAAATGTATTGTCTTAAAATAACAACTACTACTTACTTATTGGCTCAAAATGCTGAACTTTGGGAAGGGATTGACAGGAACAGCTTGCTTCTTCTCCGTGTGGTGTTGGCTGGGCCACCTTTCCCGGGGCTGGAGGATCCGGGTGGCTTCACTCACATGTGTGGCTCAGCAGAGGTGTCTAGAACAGCAAAGGACTGGCCAGGCCAATCTCTCCAGCGGGCAGTCAGTCTTCTTTATTATGGTAGCTCAGGGCTCCAAGAGAAGCAAAGGGCAAGATGTCAAGCCTCTTCCTGGTCAAGAACTGGCACCATGTCACTTCTGCATTCTGTTGGTCAAAGCAAGTCACAGGGCCAGTCTAGAATGCAGGGAGGAGAAACAGATTTCCCCTCACGATGGAAGAAATGCTTATGAGATGAGAAGCATTCCTGGCAGCTATTTTTGCAAACAATTTGCTGTACCTCATAATTTTGGTGTGTACGTAAGTTTAGTTTGCTATCGCTGAACTCTGTTTTTCTGTCACCTCCAGCTTTATTGCTAACTAGCAAATCTTTTTTTCTGTGTTTAGGTTTAAATTCCTAAGAACAGTTGGTTTAATTAATCTCTTTACCCCGTGTCAATAGTCGGAGGTCAGAGGCCATCCTATTTTTTTTTTCACCGAGTTTTTATTTTGAAACGCCTTTGGGAGAGTTACAAGAATAGTACCATGAATATTTATAGATGCTTCACTTAGATTCACCAGTTTTAACCTTGGGCACATTCGTTCTCCGTGCATATATATGTATGGAGTTGGTTGAAGACATCATGACGTTTTACCTTTAAATACTTCAGCATATATCTGCTGAGAACAGGGGCATTCTCTTACATAACCACAACCAAATTACCACACTCAAGAAATTTAACATTTCTATACAACTATCATCGAATGTACTAACTATATTGATATTTCTACAATCGCCCCATAATGTCCTTTTTATATCATTCTTTTTTGATCTAGTATTGAATCAATAATCACACATCAAAATGAGTTACCATGTGTCTCTAATGTTCTGTTCTTTTTTTTGAAAGAGAGGAGGATCTCACTCTGGTCACCCAGGTAAGAATGCGGTGGCTTGATCATGGCTCATTGCAGCCTTGACCTCTTGGGTTCAAGTAATCCTCCCGCCTCATTGTTTGATTTTTTTTGTACGTAGAGATGGCGACTCGCTATGTTGCCTAGGCTGGTCTCAAACTCCTGGGCTCAAGTAATCCTCTCGCCTCTGCCTCCCAAAGTGTTGGGATGACAGGCGTAAGCCTCCCTAATGTTCTTTAACTTAGATAAAGTTCTCTGTCCTTGTTTGTCTTTTAGGACATTGACATTTTGGAGAGCCTAGGCTAGCTGTTTTGTACAACGTCTTTCAAAATGGATTTGCCTGATCGTTTCCTCATGATTAGATTCAGCTTAAACGTTTTTGGGCAAGACTACGCCATAGGTGATGTGTGGCCAGTCACTTCAGTGCTACTCTGAGACAATTGCTGGCCAGCCGCCTGTGCGCCCTACCATCCCATCCCCACCTCCCATCATTTCCGTGGCCTGAAGTCTTCAGGTAAGTTTGGCCACGGAAAGATAATAGTGGATGACTGGAGGGTGGGAAGAGAGGAAAGGCTGGGATATTGCCCCGATTTCTCTCCTGTGACTGCTTTTCTTTGTGTCTCCAATCGCTCCCAACCAATGCTCCCTCTGTGGTTTCAGCTCCCCTGGGGAAACGCCCTCTCCTTAGTTCTGCTCCTTCTGGTTGGCCTCAACTTCTGTGCTCTGTGATAAAACGATCTTCTCCTATTGACCTTCAGCTCCAGGATGGCAGTTCCTTTCGGCTGCTGCCGACCTCCCAGTTACCTCATCACCCCATCCTGTGTTTGGCATCTCAGCTTTCCCATTTCCTCTGTAACCAATTTCCTTATTAACTTTCCTGTTCATTTTGTTGGAAAAGTCTACGGTGGTGTCTGTTTTCCTGACTAAACCTTGATTAAGATAGTTATGGTGTTCATTGTCAGTGCGATTTGCGTGACTTGTGGAATGGGGCCACGTGGCAGAAAATAAGGCAGCATTAGCAACAGGAGGTATAAGATGGGAAATTCCTTTATAAGGATAAGTAAGCAGCATAGGCCTCCTCCCTGGTTACACAAAAGGAAATATACAAAAAAGAAACATCTCAAGGTGGTAGAATTTTGTATGATTTTTATATTATTTTTCTTCTTTTCTGTTCATCCAAATTACCTTTTTTTTTTTTTTTTTTTTTTTACAATGGACATAGATATTTTTGACATGAAGACAAAATTGCCAGCATGCTGTATTTGTAAACAAATGAAGGAGAATGGTGTGCAGGTGTACATGTTGTACACAATAAGATATTATCAGAGGATACAAAAATGGCTAACCCCCATCAAAAGACAAAATTACGACAAATTTAGAGACCTTAATTGGCTTTTATTTGCCATTCTAGAATAAGGTGACACCTCATTCTACAAAATAGAATGAGTGCTCTGATGAGCTGAACAGAGGTGGTTTTTTTTCTGTTTGTTTTTTTTTGTTTTTTTTGAGACAGAGTTTCGCTCTTGTTACCCAGGCTGGAGTGCAATGGCGCGATCTCGGCTCACCGCAACCTCCACCTCCTGGGTTCAGGCAATTCTCCTGCCTCAGCCTCCTGAGTAGCTGGGATTACAGGCACGTGCCACCATGCCCAGCTAATTTTTTGTATTTTTAGTAGAGACGGGGTTTCACCATGTTGAGCAGGATGGTCTCGATCTCTTGACCTCGTGATTCACCCGCCTTGGCCTCCCAAAGTGCTGGGATTACAGGCTTGAGCCACCGCACCCGGCCCGAGGTGGTTGGTTTTATCAGCAGAAAATGGCCAAGGAAAGCAGAAATAGGAAATAAAACGTAGATGGGTTGTTTCAGAGTTCCTTTTTTTGTGAAGATTAAAGCAGAGTGGATTTCCTTATAATACCAGCTAAAATTGTGTTGTTTGGGGATTTGGCTGTTATATCTCACTCTTGATTTCTTGGAAGTTCAGATAAACAACTTCGTTTTGTCTTGGTGATGTGGAACTGTAGCGTAAGTGACTCCATTTTGGTTTGGTCTGTTGCGCTCAATGTAGGAGCTCAAAGTCAATGGCCTCCTATGCATTTTATTTAATACCCCCACAAAAGCATTTGGCTCCCAAATCTTTTTTTTTTTTTGGAGTCTCTCTCTGTCACCCAAGCTGGAGTGCAGTGGTGTGATCTTGGCTCACTGCAACCTCTACCTCCCGGGTTCAAGTGATTCTCCTGCCTCAGCCTCCCAAGTAGCTGGGATTACAGAAGCATGCCACCACACCTGGTTAGTTTTTTATATTTTTAGTAGAGATGGAGTTTCACCACGTTAGCCAGGATGGTCTCCATCTCCTGACCTCATGATCTGCCCGGCCTCCCAAAGTGCTGGGATTACAGACGTCAGCCACCGTGCCTGGCCCAAATCTTTTAAATAGAAAACGTAAGGTCACTCAGTGTAAGATGATAAAAAGAGTAACAAGGGACTACCCTTATTTCTTCATATAAAATGCTTACACTTTTTTTGTATGTCTAATTTGTAATTTTAATAATTTAAAAAATTTTTATTAAAAAGGAAATCGTAAAATGTGAAATGGTTCAGCTGTTGAGGTTTTTATGTGATCAGTCTAGCCCGCAAATGGGCAAATCTCCACTGATCACGAAAAAACGACACTGGTTCTTATGGAAATGTTTCCATTTAATAGGTGACATAACAGTGATTGTTTATAACAATGAAAGGTACTTTTTCCAATGTTTACTTAGTCAGCTATCCTTAGGAGTTTTGGAAAGCTTATTAGAGACTAAGGAATTTAAAGGGGTACCAAAATTGCTGACGCCTGAGTTAGAATTCATAGAAAATGAGCAAAAAAGGCTAGGAAATATTAGTGAAAAGATCAAATAGATTGCAAGACTGAAATGAAACTGCAATGATGAAGACAAATGGAAAACACTGGAGACAAAATGGATTACTGGAAACAGGAAGCGCAAAAACAGAGTTACTCAGTAAGTACCAGATTTGAACAGGAAGTTTTCACAGAAGAGCCTAACATAGGAAATATGCGCTGCAAGCGAGGGCGTGCGAAAACCTGCTTCTGCTCTGCATGTAATCCAATATAACCTGGTACAGAATGTCTTGAAAAGTCCAAAGAAGATAGTTTCCTAGGTGTTTAACTATTTCAATGGCTCCCATCGGGAAGTCATAGCTAGCAATGGACTTTTGACTTAAACCTGCTTGTACCTGCTGCTGTGTTTTGAATGTCTCCTCCGAAACCCATGTTGAAATTTATTTGCCATCATGATAGTATTAAGAGTTGGGACCTTTAAAGGGTAATTAGGTCATGAGGGCTTGGCCCATATGAATAGATTAATGTTATCATGGGAGTGGCTTCGTTTTCGTGGGAATTAGATCCCCATTTTCTCCCTCTGTTTTGTGTGCTTGCTTGCCTGTCTGCCATGGGATGAATCAGCATGAAAGTCCTTGCCAGATTCTCATGCCATGTTCTTGCCCTTTCTAGCCTCCAGAGCTGTGAGTCCAATCAATTTCTATTCTTTATAAATTATCCAATTGGTGATAGTCTGTTACAGCATCAGAAAATGGACCAAGACACCGGCCAAGACCTGTATGTAGTCAGAGTCTAATTAAGGCTATCTCAAGAGTTTATTCCATGGGCTCACTAAGTGCTATATGTGAGAAGAAGGAGATTGTTAATTCTGTCTGAAATGAAGCATACTAATAAATGAATGCATTGACATTTTATGTGAATAATTACGACCTTCCAGTATTGCATATTTAATGTTACAGCTTAGAAACATGGAAGAAAGTACCAGGTCAGAGTTAAACCTGTTTGTCTTTACCACCCACACCAAAAAAAGAAGCTAGGTTGAAGAGCTCTGATTCTGAGACTCTCTCCCTTTAGGATTTTCCATCGACAGTGTTGGGAAACATGATCTGGAGTATGCAATATTTGGCTCTTCATAGGCTGCAAAGTTTTGAAAGGTGCTGGTGTGACTCTTAGCAGAGACCTCTGGCCTAGGTATTCCTTTATCTTTACTTTCTCCCAACTTTATCCCAAGTAAATATCTCAATAGAGCAGTATCTACTAATTCACAGGGCTATAGTGACATTCTCTTGACACATCAGGAACATTTTGGGAAACAAGACTGGGAGGAGAAAGTGGGCTTGGGGTACCTTCTCACAGCTCTGCACCTAACACTACCCAGATAATAAAAAACTCAGGCCGGGCGCGGTGGCTCAAGCTTGTAATCCCAGCACTTTGGGAGGCCGAGGCGGGTGGATCACGAGGTCAAGAGATCGAGACCATCCTGGTCAACATGGTGAAACCCCGTCTCTACTAAAAATACAAAAAATTAGCTGGGCATGATGGCTCGTGCCTGTAATCCCAGCTACTCAGGAGGCTGAGGCAGGAGAATTGTCTGAACCCAGGAGGCGGAGGTTGCGGTGAGCCGAGATCGCGCCATTGCACTCCAGCCTGGGTAACAAGAGCGAAACTCCGTCTCAAAAAAAAAAAAAAAAAAAAAAAAAAAACTCTATAGATTTTATGTTTAAAAACTGGTATTAAAAAAACAACAAAAACCAAAATAACCTGGTATTTATTAGTTATATAACTCAAGCTTTCTTCTCTTAACTTTTCCCCCATTCTGTTTGTAGAAGTTCCAGGTCACGATTACCTTTCCAATTTCCAGAGACACTGTAAAATAACCATCATCAGACTTTTAGCTGTAGGTAATGAGTAGAAGAGTTATTATAACATTCTGAGCATACTCACTGGTGTTCCTAGAAGTATCCAGGACAACTGTCTAAGGCCTTGAGGTATCAAACAGGCATCTAAATGGAAAGCAAATCTGAACTGCATTCAGTGGATGGTTGAGATTCCTTTGAAAGCTGTTGATGTGCAGTTATGTGAAATACAACAGCCATTTAGGCCCATAATCTGCTTGAGAGTAATCACGTACATAGTTAATACTCCAAACTACTTTTCCATTCAGATCATTTCAATGTGGTTGATGATGTAAAAGCAAATATCTGTTGAGAGCAATGCTGCTCCTCCATTAGTGAACTACTGCCTGGTCCCCTCATTATTGGACATCTCAGTCACTTTCAATGATGCTCAAAAAGCATACCTCCCAAAGGAGCCTTTTTTTCCCATGCTGACTCTCCTGGTTTATCTAAACAGGAATTCATCTTTTAACTTCCTCTCCTGGTTTAACTAAACAGGAATTCATCTCCATTTTAAGAGGTACTTACTTCACAAATTAGCTTTCCTTATATTCCTTCTAAAGCAAAACAAATGTAGTTTAGTTTTGTTTCTAAGAATCGAGGTCAGAAATGCTGTAACTTAAAGTTTGTGACTGCTTAACAAGGAACACGTTGACTACTAGTTTTTCTTAAAGACAGTATTACCCATTTCCAGAGTACATATTTTTTAAATTAATAGACTTTATTTTTAGAGAAATTTTAGATTTACAGAAAAATTAAGCAGAAAGTAAGAATCTATTTTTTGAGCGGAAATTTTTGAGAGCTGGCAAAATTTCAGGATCTGTTGTAATAGTTTAGTTTTCGTTCCATTCAGCTGTGGATACACCAATAGCTTACAGCCAAGTGCATATTAGTACCCATCAAATCCATGAATGAGATATTTTTCTTTAAATCACATGGCTCTAAATTACAGGTTTTACATACAGTTAGCCCTCTGTAACAGCAGAAGTGGAATCTGTGGATACAGAGGGCTGACTGTTACCTGAAAAACCAGTGTTTGTTTGCCTGGTGAGTAACAAGCGACTCTCCATGAGAATGCAGTTGTTTTCTTACAAGAAAGGCCGGCACTGGGAGTATTCTCCAAATCAGTGTCTTCTCAAGAGAAAGCGACAGGAGGCTGTTGACAAAAAGAACTAAACTGTAAGATATTTTAAAAGGTTTATTCTGAGCCAAATATGAGTGACCAAGGCCCATGACACAGCCCCAGGAGGTCCTGAAAATAGGTATCCAAGGTGCTTGAGTCACAGCTCGAGTTTATACATTTTAGGGGGACAGAAGTGGCACAGGTACCAATCAATACATGTCAAGTGTGCATCAATTCAGTCTGAAAAGGTGGGGCGACTCAAGGCAAGAGCCTCCGGGTCATAGGTGGAGTGAAAGATTTTCTCACTGGAAATTGGTTGAAAGAATTACGTTATTATCTATTTTTTTGAGATTGAGTCTCGTTCGCTCTGTCACCCAGGGTGGAGTGCAGTGGCACGATCTCAGCTCACTGCAAACTCTGCCTCCGAGGTTCAAGCGATTCTCCTGCCTCACCCTCCTGAGTAGCTGGGATTACAGGCACATGCCACCGCACCTGGCTAATTTTTATATTTTTAGTCGAGACAGGGTTTCGCCATGTTGGCCAGGCTGGTCTTGAACTTCTGACCTCAGGTGATCCACCTGCCTTGGCCTCCCAAAGTGCTGGGATTATAGGCATGAGCACCTGGCCAAGTTGTTATTATCTAAGGATCTGGAATCAACAGAAAGGAATTGTCTTGGTTAAGATAAAGGGTTGGGGGGACCAAGATTCTGAGGTGGGGGGCAAGACTTGATTCCAGAGGTGGAGCTTGGATGCCAGACCAGTTGAAGACTAGCTAAAAACAGGTGCTGGTCGGGGGAGGGGTGGGGGAGTGGGGGGCAGAAATACCTCCTCATAAGACACACCCACCAGTGTGCCACGTCAGTTCACCATCGCCGTGGCAACACCTGGAGGTCACTGCCCCTCTCCATGGCAACGACCCGACAACTGGGAGGTCATCTCACTCATTCTAGAAATTTCTTTTTTTTTTTTTTTTTTTTTTTTTTTTGAGACGGAGTTTCGCTCTTGTTACCCAGGCTGGAGTGCAATGGCGCGATCTCGGCTCACCGCAACCTCCGCCTCCCGGGTTCAGGCAATTCTCCTGCCTCAGCCTCCTGAGTAGCTGGGATGACAGGCACGCGCCACCATGCCCAGCTAATTTTTTGTATTTTTAGTAGAGACGGGGTTTCACCATGTTGACCAGGATGGTCTCGATCTCTTGACCTCGTGATCCACCCGCCTCGGCCTCCCAAAGTGCTGGGATGACAGGCTTGAGCCACCGCGCCCGGCCCATTCTAGAAATTTCTACATAACCCCCTTAATGTTCATATAATTACAAGTGGGTATGAGTGTAGAGCTGCCGCTGAGGTGCTACGCACACTGCCTGTGGGGTAACCCCCCTCTGCCAGGAGGAGGGCCCCGGCTGCTGCTGGTCCACTGCCGCTGTCAATCAAAGCTGCTATTTAACAGCAGCAGCGGACTCTTGAATTCTTTCCTGGGAGAAGCCAAGAACCCTTCAGGGCATAGCCTCAATTTTGGGGCTTGCCTGTTTTCTATCAGTTCTTATTATGCAGATGAAGTCTCCCGGTAGCAGGCTTCAGAGAGAATAGGTGGTAAATGTCTCTCTCTCTCTTTTTTTTAAATGTATGTATTTATTTATGGCCAGGCTGGTCTTGAGCTCCTGACCTCAGGTGATCCACCCACCTCGGCCTCCCAAAGTGCTCGGATTGCAGGCGTGAGCCACCGTGCCCCGCCAGTCTCTTCCCAGAGCTAAAAAGGTGCCAGACTCTTAGTTCATCTCTCCTGGATCAGGAAAAGATCTGGAAAGGGAAGGGGATTCTCTACAGAATGTAGATTTCCCCCACAAGAAACAGCTTTGCAAGGCCATTTCGAAATATGTCAGAGAAATATATTTTGGGGTAAAATACTTGGATTTCTTTCAGGGTCTACTATCTGCCATTTGAGGCTATACTAGGGTCAGATTGAGATTTGGTGTCTTACTGCTACAAAGAGCCTGTTTTGTCCGTCTTAAGATCTCAGTTTTAATGTTGATGCTGGTCAGTTGTGTCTTTTTTGTTTGATGTAATCCCATTTGTCCATTTTTAATTTTGTGCTTGTGCTTTTTGTTAGGTTTTGAATGGAGGCGAGGGTTAAAGAAAGAGAGAGAGAGAGAGAGAGAGAGAGAGAGAGAGAGACTCAACAGCAAATGCAAGCATTTATGTCCAGGATAAACCTATAGAGGTGGGGATCAGCTTAATGTCAGTGCCCACTGCTGCTTACATGCACGCTGGGGTAGTTATAGGCTCAGGCGGAAGGGGTCTAGGGAGCATGGCTTGCTGCCTGGCAGGATATTGATAAGATATTCCTATGATCAGGTGGTTTGGCCCCTGTTCTGGTGGAATGTGGTGTTCCTTGCATTTTCTCTTAGCGGAATGTAAGAGGCAGGCTGTTTCTCATGGCCCTAACCCCCTGGAATGTTTGACTTTGACCAAGGTCTGTGAAATGGTGGGGGACTTAGAAAATGGTTCAGTTTGGACTAACTCTTCTGGGGACTCTTGTTCTTTTTGACTGCATGTATTTTCTAGGAGGACAGCAAGTCTCTGGATACTCTTAAATATTACTTGTCGGAAACAGATGCTGGTGCCGCAAAGAAAAATCAGCACTCAGACAAAGGATCTCTCGGCAAAGCAATTTTACTTCCCTCAGAAAGCGTGCTCCTGTTAGCCATCTTGCCATGAGAGTAAAATGCACAAAGGAAAAGCAGACGTATTTATTCCTTACACATCTGGAGTGGTCCTTCCTGCTGTGTCTGATCTCTGCTGAGTGGAGCCAGGCCTCACTATCTAAACTGAAACCTGATGGGCTAACAACTTAAAACTTTTCTAAACAGGTAAAAGCAATGGAGAACAAAAGGCAAAGAGGAAGTCCAAATAAGGAAGGACAGGAAGTTGCTTGTGAAAGGACTTAGAAAAGTAATAACAGAAACCTTATTTATGTTAAAGTACAAGGATATAGAATGCATATCGTGCCTGTGAGCATGTCTAGCACAAATATCTTGGTTAAAGCACAAGGACATAGAATGTGCTTATTCCTTTATATCTAACAGCTACTAGGATAGGGCTTAACGAAGAGTCACTAATAAAAAACAAGAGGGCTTTGAAGAAAGTCTTTAAAAGAGACTATTATTTCTAACATTTATTATTCTTCAACAGGACAGGAAACTTTGAAGAGGAACTTTTCTTCTTCCCACATTACTTGTGAGCTTTAAGTCACTCAATGATTTCGCTTATGATGGTGGTTATCTTTAAACATGTCATGATTTTTTTTCTTTAACCATTTTTAGTGTGGACTACATAAAACATACAAAAGGCCACCATACTTACATAGAATTTAAAAATAATTCAAAACAAATTAAAAAGTACCCAGATAGCTACAACCCAGTCCAAGAGTGAGAATATGGACAGAATCCCACGATGCACAATTTCCCTACGCCATCCCCTACCTGCAACAAACCTCTTCCTCTTCCAGAAGTCACCACTCTTCTAACCTTGTGACAATCACTTCCTTGCATACCTTTATAGTTTTATCACTTCTATATGCATTGCCTAGTTTTGCCTTTTATGTTTAGATCTTCAATCTACTTGAAATTTATGTATGATAGCAATAAATAAAAATGTATGTATGATAAATTTATGTATAAAATTTATGTATGATATAAATATAAATTTATCTGTGTATGATAAAATATACGACAATGCTTCTCTGTCCCAGCACTGTTTATTAGAATTTCTACTTCCTTACCTGATCTACGCGACCACTGAACCAGGAGATTAGAAGCTGGAGGCAGGGAACCTAAGGCTGATTCATGCTGCTTATCAGGGAAAGGAGGGGTTGAATCCGGCTTAGGTTGAACCGGAGCATGAACCGGCATCCCTTTCCAACCCCTCCTCTTTTCTGCGAGGCAGTTGAAAAATGAAAGTACCTCTGACTGGGCTGGGCATGGTGGCTCATGCTTTGCTGAGGCAGGCGGATCACTGTGTCAGGAGATGGAGAGCATCCTGATCAACATGGTGAAACCCTGTCTCTACTAAAATTCAAAAGTTAGCTGGGGCCCGGGCGCGGTGGCTCAAGCCTGTAATCCCAGCACTTTGGGAAGCCGAGGCGGGTGGATCACGAGGTCAGGGGATCGAGACCATCCTGGTCAACATGGTGAAACCCCGTCTCTACTAAAAATACAAAAAATTAGCTGGGCATGGTGGCGCGTGCCTGTAATCCCAGCTACTCAGGAGGCTGAGGCAGGAGAATTGCCTGAACCCAGGAGGCGGAGGTTGCGGTGAGCGGAGATCACGCCATTGCACTCCAGCCTGGGTAACAAGAGCGAAACTCCGTCTCAAAAAAAAAAAAAAAAAAAAAGTTAGCTGGATGTGGTGGTGTGAGCCTGTAATCCCAGCTACTCGGGAGTCGTGAGGCTTAAGAATCGCTTGAACCAGGTAGTCTGAGGTTATAGTGAGCCAAGATCGTGCCATTGCACTCTAGCCTGGGCAACAGGAGTGAAACTCTGTCTTAAAAAAAAGAAAAGAAAAGAAAAAAAAAGAAAGTACCTCTGATTGGTCCCCTCCTGCAACCAATCAATCGGACTGGTCCCCTCCTGCAGCCAATCAATCAGACTGGTTGGGGGCCAATGGGAAACCTCTAGCGGGTATTTAAACCTCAGGAAATTCCGCAACGGAGGCTTTGAGCTACGTGCTGGAGCCCGCTTCTACCTGTGGAGTGTCCTTTCGTTTAAAATAAATCTTGGCTTTTGCTGCCTTGCTTTGTGTGTTTTGTCTAATTCCTTGTTCAAAACGCCAAGAACCTGATCGACTACCCTCAACTGGCAACATATTTTGGTCAGCCAGCCAGGAGGTAAGCCCTATGTTTGGGATTTATTTTTCTCTTTTTCCCCTTTCTGTCTCTTTTCCTTTCCAACTCGGGACCCTCGGTGGACAGCGCCTGCGCCTGGAGGCAGCTGCAGGTTTCTGGCCGGGCCACGCTCCAGCGAACTGCAAGGTTTCCGTGCAGAAGCGCCTGATCACCACCATCCAGTTTGGGTGAGGGACCTGAGGCCTTTTCTTTTTCGGTCTTTCAGCAGCTGCTTCCTGGCAGGGCAAATGGTCAGAAATCCTACATGTACAGGCCTTCATGGCCCTATGCCAAAACCTAATAACGTCCCCGAAGAAGGTCCAAAGGCAGGGCTAGATATTATAGATGACCCCCTTTGACAGGAGTCACCTGTCTTTTATGGTGAACAGCAACTGCCCCCATGTAGCCCCTTGCCAAGTGCTCCTGAGGCTAAAACCCACACTGGACACCCCACCAAGTCCGCCTCACACTCGGAGGGGAACACCATATTCAACTCGCCCTCCAGCCCTGCTACCCCTTAGGGAGGAGGGCCAGTCTTAGTGCAGCCCCTTTTCTACAACAGTGGAAGGGAAAGCTAGGAGGCTCTTCTGAGAATCCCAGGAAATTAGCAGATGGGTCCCAAATTTTGACCATAGCCTTAGATTTTTCATGGAGAAATGTTCAATTCTAGCAACCTCTTGCACTCCCTTGGAAAATAAATGAATCTTTTAAGGGTGCCCGCCAGGAAGCAGATGATCTATTTGCCCCAAGCCCTCAGGGCAATCACCTGGGTCCAGACACAGTCCCCACTAGTCTGATCCTGATTGTTGGGACTCTCAAACGCCCATGGAAATGAACAGCTGGGCTAAATTTCTTGAGGCTCTCCTTGGAAGCATGAGAAAGGGAATAAGGCAGAAAGTGATGATGAACTAAGGAGGTTACATAGGGTGAGGTAACCCTTGCCACGCTCATGCTACAATCTGGAACAGGCGTCCCCGAACTACGGCCCGCGGGCCGCATGCGGCCCCCTGAGGCCATTTATCCGGCCCCCCGCCACACTTCAGGAAGGGGCACCTCTTTCATTGGTGGTCAGTGAGAGGAGCACAGTATGTGGCGGCCCTCCAGCGGTCTGAGGGACAGTGAACTGGCCCCCTGTGTAAAAAGTCTGGGGACGCCTGATCTGGAAGGAAGGGGACTGCTAACTAGCAAACACTCCCCTATACAGCATCGGCCTGAAATTCAGCTTTTGGAAGCAATACACCTGCTAAAAGCTGTAGCCATTGTAGGGGCATCAAAGGGACTTGACCCTTACAGTGCGAGGAAACAAAAGCTGCTGGAGCAGCCACGGCTGTAGTTCTCAGGGCACGATCCCCCAGACCCTAGCACTGCGTCCGCTCCGATTCCCCAGTGGAACCTGCATACACACCACAGGAGGAACAGTTAATAAAGGAGCAAAGGGGACGAAAACAAGGATCCTGGTGGTGTATCGCATCAAAAACACATTTCCCGCAAGCAGCCCAATGCAGAATGATAAACCCTCCAAGCTGGGCGTGGTGGCTCACACCTGTAATCCCAGCACTTTGGGAGGCTCAGGCGGGTGGATCATGTGAGGTCAGGAGTTCCAGACCAGCCTGGCCAATATGGGAAACCCTGTCTCTACTAAAAATAACAACAATTAGCCAGGTGTGGTGGGTGGGAGCCTGTAATTCCGGCTACTTGGGAGGCTGAGGCAGGAGAATTGCTTGAACCTGGGAGGCGGAGGTTGCAGGTGAGCCGAGATCGCCCCTTAATAAGGGCAAAGGGGGAAACTGATTTCACAAGAGTGAAACTTCATCTCAAACAAAACAAAAACACCACCACCAAAAAACCTGGTTTAACTCTTTCCATCTGGGGAGAGCCGCCAGCCTCGCCATGGTTAACAGGCTCTTCTTTGGGTCTAATTTAGCTTCTGTGGTTAAGCATGGCTTTCAGGCCTGCTCACTGTGTGCACTTAACCCAGGAAACAAAATGCCTCCTCTAATAGAACCAGTCCATAGGAGAGCTTTTTATTTTTTTGAGATAGAGTCTCGCTGTGTTGCCCAGATTGGAGTGCCATGGCACAATCTCAGCTCACTGCAACCTCCACCTGCTGGGTTCCAGCAATTCTCCTGTCTCAGCCTCCCGAGTAGCTGGGATTAAAGGTGCCTGCCACTATGCCCAGCTCAGAGGAGACTTGTATTAGAGGACTCTAACATACCCAGGAAAAGACTGGCAGTTAGACTGCACACATATACCAGCTAGCACTAACCAGTTTTTGATAGTGCTAATAGATATCTTTACTGGTTGGATTGAAACTTACCCTACCAGAACAGAGAAAGCTAATGAGGTTATAAGGGTTCTCCTAAAAGAAATAATCCCCCCTGATTTGGGTTACTTCAGAGTCTCCAAAATGATAATGGCCCAACCTTTACCAAATAACTTAAGGGGCTGCTAAGTTCTCAGAATCAAATACTATTTACATTCAGCATGGAGGCCTCAATCCTCCGGGAAAGTAGAAGGGTCTAACCAAACTCTAGAATGATCGTTTGCTAAGCTGTATCAGGAGACAGCAGAAGCTTGGAGCAGCTTACCGCCCATAGCCCTCTTAAAAAATCTGTAATACCCCTGGAGCAAAAATTAAGCCCACACTAAACGTTACATGAAGGTCATTCTTAACTAATGATGTAATTACTGATTCAGAAAAAGCTGATTTAGTAAAATCCCTAGTTAACCTAGGACAATTTCAGCAAGCTTTACAAAAGTTTGGAGCTCAAAGGCTTCCCATACCGGGAACTAACCAGCAACCCCAAATCAGGCCAGGAGATAAGGTACATGTCAAAGCATGGAAGGAGGGATCATTTGCTCAATAATTACAACCCAAATGGAAGGCACTGTTCTCAGTAATACCGGCCATGCCTTCTGCAGTCAGAGTACTAGGATTAGATAGTTGGATCCTTTCAAGGATCAAGTCTGTGATACCTGAGCCCTGGACCTGGAACGTGAAGTTCCCTTCAGCCACTACACCTGTGAAGGTCCTCCTTCAGCGAAGAACCTGTTTAGAAGACAGCCAAAAGATAAATGTTATCAACAGGTTCTCAGTGCCACAAAGAATCAACACTGAGAGTATGGATCCGTCAGCAAGGCCAGTTTTACTTTCTGCAGAAAGGCTGCCACTTGCTGGCAATCTTGCCACGAGAACACACCCGAACAAAAGGAACCAGGAGCATTTATAACCCGATGCAACCACCCTACTGCTATGTCCAGTTTCCATTGGCCGGGACAGGACTTCGCATCCTAAGCTTTACCGGACTGGCTAGCAACTTACAACTTTCCTGCATAGGTAAAGGCAAGATAGGACAAAGAAGAGAGGAAGTGACTTGTGGAATGCTGAGAAAGGCAAAAGTACTTCTTAATAAGGGCAAAGGAGGAAGCTATGATCTAATGCTTGCCTAGGCTTGCCCAGACA